CAATAATGTGCCCAAAGGCTAGCTAACACACTGAGCAGAAACACAGTGGCATTTGCTTAGAATGGATCTGGGCTTGTCTTGAGACTGACCCATAGAATGTTTACTTGGTCTTGGTCATATTATGTTCTACGGTTGAGATTAGTACATGACCCAGATGCAAAGATTGGTAAAAGAGACCTTTGAAAGGATCTTGCCAAGTTACTTGGTCCTACTTTTGCCCACTTTTAGCACTTGCATAAATTTAATATATGGATGATTATTTTTATTTATTGAATTTCTATACCGCCCTATACCCAGAGGTCTCATGATGTGAATATGACCTACAACTTAGTGCTACTAATTCTGTTGCGTTAGTAGGCAGCAGATAGTGGTGGCTATCATATCCTGACTGATTGTGATTCCTTTTCTTTTTAAAAAATTGTGCTGTTTTTCAGCCAAAATTTTCTACAAAATCTTCTTGCATCAGTTAACGTTTAATACAAATAACAACATTCCATGCACAAGGGATCAGAGGTTAGGGGACTTCTAGATACAAATCAAAACAAAACTACAGTCCCTGACTCTAGGCTAACATTCTAGAAAGAAGGAACGAAGTGTTAAAAGTTAGGGGAAGGTTACTATGACTGATGTGAATCAAGCTGATCTTCCTTTTGCTGGGATGGAGGTATTGTAACTATGCTCACCACTGCAGCCACAGGACAGAAACATGGATTTCTGTTTGAGAGAAAGAAGGAACCCTTCTTTGTGGTGTTCTTCCTGGGAAAGAGAGTGGGCAACATTCAAACACCCCTGATCTGATGTTCAGAGGTGGCGCCCTTATGAATCTGATTTGGGAAGGGGAATCATTCAGGTAAATTTCAATTTCATTACAAGCCTGGAACAAGGAATATTAGGCCATACCTGCAGTACACCGTGCATGCAGTAGAACTGAACGCCTAGGCAGAAATTGCTTTCAGATATTTTCACAGACTGGATCTTTTCAGGTAGCTCAGTTTGCCAGCAAGCTAGTTCAGAAAAGAAAGGCTCTCTGTTGTCCCTTCACTAAAACCACTGTAGAACTAAAGAAAACATACCACAGTAGGAAAAATACATCCTGTAGATTGACTAGCCAAAGGGCTTTTATAGCACATTTCTTCAAATGGTGCTGGGCCCTGGCCATAACTCAAACAGCAGCCTTGCTTCTTTGCCTGATGCTGTACAATGTCTGTTTTGAAAGCCAATACTGACTCTCTTGTCTGGAAGAAGATTGGAAGAAATTTAAAGACTATTTACAGAAATACTGCAAAATCAATGAATGTTAGAGTGATGTTGGATTGAAGTTAAGAGGCTTCTAGCTGAACAGGTTTTAAAGCTATAAATGTATCAAGATTAAGGATTAGGACCAAAAAGACTAAGAGAAATGGAAAAATAGGTTCAAATAGGTAAAAATCTAATGGCATAATATATCAAGATTTAGGACTGGAATTAAAAAGGAGGGTAAGAAATTGCTGGGTTTACAAACTGAATTGGAATACAAAAGAGGGAGGTATGAGGAAGTCCGGGGAACAAGTAAATTTAAAAGAGGTTATGAAAGGACGGAACTATTTTTAACTGTTTTTTCTTTTTCTTTTTTTACTTTTTTCTATTCTGTACTTTGTATTTTGTATGGGGTATTTTCTCGGTTTTGGTTAAAATTTTTGTGTTTATTAATGTGATTTTATTCTTTCTGAAACTTTAATAAATATTAATTAAAAAAAAGAATAATGACTCTCTTGTCTAACGCTATGCTTTCTGTGCCACATGTGAAAGTGGCACAGAGCAATAATTGTTTGTCCACTAGGTGACACTGCAGCTGTTGGGAAACAGCCTCCCCATTGCATAGTGTGCATTGCATGGTGTCCCTTGCAAAACGCATGCAAGATTATTGGCATCTTGGATGTCAAAGAGTGAGAAGACATGGCAGCTACATGCTAATACAGGAGAACATTTCCTTTCTTAAGAAGTTCATTATGTTGTTGTTGTTTAGTCGTTTAGTCATGTCCGACTCTTCGTGACCCCATGGACCAGAGCACGCCAGGCACTCCTGTCTTCCACTGCCTCCCGCAGTTTGGTCAAACTCATGTTAGTAGCTTCGAGAACACTGTCCAACCATCTCGTCCTCTGTCGTCCCCTTCTCCTTGTGCTTTCCCAACATCAGGGTCTTTTCCAGGGAGTCTTCTCTTCTCATGAGGTGGCCAAGGTATTGGAGCCTCAGCTTCAGGATCTGTCCTTCCAGTGAGCACTCAAGGCTGATTTCCTTAAGAATGGAGAGGTTTGATCTTCTTGCAGTCCATGGGACTCTCAAGAGTCTCCTCCAGCACCATAATTCAAAAGCATCCATTCTTCGGCAATCAGCCTTCTTTATGGTCCAACTCTCACCTCCATACATCACTATTGGAAAAACCATAGCTTTAACTATACGGACCTTTGTCGGCAAGGAGGTGTCTCTGCTTTTTAAGATGCTGTAGAGCACAGTTAATGCATAAAATGTTTTGCAATTGGTTATCCTATCCCTTCTATTTCCTACTCTATAATTGCTGAATGATAATTACAATTTCCTGGTCCAAACTGAGATAGAGTGAATTGCCTAAGCTTATCCATGGTAATGTATCATTTCTGAGCTAGGAACTAAAAACGAGTCTGTCCAAAACATTAACTTGATCAAAGGGAAGAGCGACCAATAGAGAGCACTCAAGCACTCCCTGGATTAACATTGTAAAGAAGAAGAGTTTTGATTTGATATCCCACTTTATTACTACCCTAAGGAGTCTCAAAGCGGCTAACAGTCTCCTTTCCCTTCCTCCCCCACAACAAACACTCTGTGAGGTGAGTGGGGCTGAGAGACTTCAGAGAAGTGTGACTGGCCCAAGGTCACCCAGCAGCTGCATGTGGAGGAGCGGAGACGCGAACCCGGTTCCCCAGATTACGAGTCCACCACTCTTAACCACTACACCACACTGGCTCTCTTGCACCACACTGGCACACTGGCACATAAAGAAGCCAGAGCTCATCCCTCTGCCTTTTTCAATAGTCCCTTATTAGGAAGGGAGAAGAAATTCCATCCGGTTTGCATTTGAAGCCAAATCTATCAAGTCCACACTTTGCAAAACAGTATGGGAACCGAAGCACAGCCATTCTTCCAAATTAGCACTTATCGGAATTTTGCAAAGCAATCCCAAACAGTATTTACAAGAATGTACATATCAGAGAGGAACTGCATAAAAATAAATAGATTAGTGAAAACAACATACTAAAATGCATTATATTAGGAGAAATTGCTGACAAAAGTTTACTTATTAGGAGAAATTCACACTAAAACACTGAAGAATTTTCATGAAGATTTAAAAAAAAAATCTTTCTTTCTTTTTTACAAATGGCTGCAGAAATGTGAAGAACTGGATTTAGGTTTGGAAGGGTGAGAGACTGAGAGAACCAAAGACTGACAGAACCCACCTATGAACCAGTTCAGTACACCTTACAGATGTGGACCAAGCAAACTCCTCCAGCCTCTCTAGGTGTGATTGATAACGAAAAAAACTAGCTGGCAGTGATGCCATATTGCACAAAATCTCTGCAGAAGATTACTTCTTTTCCACTTGGAAAAAGAACAACCCATAATCCCAATTGCATGAATTTGCTTTTTGCATATGCAGGGTTATTTCTGCATCACCCTTGCAACAAATTGGGCAAGTCTCTCCTTCGCATTCTGCCTTGGAAGGGTGCGTGTTACCCACTTTCTGTAAAATTGTGAGACTGCCCTCTATCAAGAAGGGGCTCATTTTAAGGACATACATTTTAAGGCAATCAGCCCTTCAGATTTATTTGTAAAGAAACCTCTTTGAGTACAAGTGGCTTTGCTTTGAGCAAATATGAATAAGATTGCACATTGCGTGATGTGGGAGTGATTTAAAGACATAGTCCAGCCAGAGGCATTTGTTTTCAGGTAATGAATGCTTCTTTGAACCAATCCCACCCCACTTGCAATATACATCTGTCACCACGCAGGGTAGCCTAAACTGAGGTTGTGTGTTCAGCTGAATGCCACCCAAACTTCAGCAGCTTTAGTAAACAATATCTGGCAAGAGTGGTCTGATTTTATATTTGAAAGCAGGTGGGTGAGTGAATATGTATTATTGGCAAAGTCATGAATGTAGTTTTAAGATTCTTATCTTTCTCATCACCACCCATATTAAGAACTGGGTGGGTCTCCTCTTTTATGTCAGGGTGATCTGGGCAGATCTACGCTTCCTGCAGAGTTTGCTGCAGGCACACCAAACATGTGCACACGAGGGTGCTGTGTACTTAATTTAACACCTGAATACACGCCTTGAGGAGCTAATCAAGGTTCCCAGATGTTAAAGACAAGTTAAAAGTTCCCAGTTTGCTAAAGAGACAAATGCAGGGTCCAGGCTGATTCATTTGGGAAGAGTGGTCTTTGGGGTCCCAAGTCACATAAGGCTTTGACAGTAATGGATCCAGAAGCACACCCAAACTACATACCTGCTCCTTCGGAGGGAGTATAACCTAGGGTTGCCAGACATCCCTGGTTCCTGGGGACAGTCCCCAGATTTGCAAATCTGTCCCCAGGAAATGTGGCAGCAGCAGTCTCAACAGCCTGGAGCCAGTCTGGTAGCACAGTTGGCTCTGGCTGGCTTCAGGAGCTGCTGGCTGCCGTGACGCCCACCATTTCCCCTGCGCCACAGCAGTGAGCAGCTCCTGAAGCCAGCCAGAGCCAACTGCACTACCAGGCTGGTTCCAGGCTGCAGAAGGGGAACCGGAGACGTCCGGTGGTACAGATCTCCTTCCTCCTTCCTCCTTCCCCCTTTGTTTTGACTGATCAGGGGAGGTTCGGGAGTTGTGGGCGGGCGGCCGTTGCCCAGGAGGGGTGCAGGACACGTGGTTTCTCTGCCAGGCAAGGCACAAAGCCCTTCTTTTGCACCCTGTGAAACATAAATGTGCAGAGTTTTTAAAAAACTGGGCAACGGTCACCTGCCCATGACTCCCGAGCCTCCCCTGATCAGTCAAAATAAAGGGGGAAGGGGGCAGGAGATTGGGGGAGGCTCGGGAGTCGTGGGCAGGTGGCCGATGCCCAGTTTTTTAAAAAACTCTGTGCATTTATGTTTCATAGGGTGCGAAAGAAGGGCTTTGCACCTTTATACAATATGCGTGCTTGGGCCCAGGGTATTTTGCCTCACCGTCCTCACTACTGACTCCCTGTTGCTACTCAGCTTCAAAGGACAAAAAATGTCCCCGGATTCATTGAAAAAATATCTGGTAACCATAGTATAACCCCATCCGTAGGCCAGACACACATACCCCATCCAGTATAGGGAACCAGCCACTGACAGTGCCTCAGCCAGGATTGAACTGTAGTTTATTGACTCTCATCCAGTTCATTATTATAGCTGGATACCAATATAGCACATCCATTACTAGACTAAGGTTACCAGACATCCCCGTTTCCTGGGGACAGTCCCCGGATTTACAAATCAGTCCCCTGACAAAATCCTATCATTCCTACTGAAGTTGAAAAGTCTCCCCGGATTCATTGAAAAACAATCTGGTAACCTTATACTAGACTTGCAAATGTAAAGGAGAAGCAGAGCAGCTTATCGTCAGCATACTACTGGCAATGCGCTCTAGAGCTCAGGGTGATCTGACTTAGTGGTCTCATGTGGATGTTAGAAGAAGAAGAAGAAGAAGAAGAAGAAGAAGAAGAAGAAGAAGAGGAGGAGGAGGAGGAGGAGGAGGAGGAGGAGGAGGAGGAGGAGGAAGAGGAGGAGGAGGAGGAGGAGGAGGAGGAGTTTGGATTTGATATCCCGCTTTATCACTACCTGAAGGAGTCCCAAAGTGGCTAACATTCTCCTTTCCCTTCCTCCCCCACAACAAACACTCTGTGAAGTGAGTGGGGCTGAGAGACTTCAGAAAAGTGTGACTAGCCCAAGGTCACTCAGCAGCTGCATGTGGAGGAGCGGAGACGCAAACCCGGTTCACCAGATTACAAGTCCACCGCTCTTAACCACTATACCACACTGGCTCTCCAGTAAACAGTATGGGGGACAGGTTTGAACCCTGCAGTGCCATATTCTTGAAGGTCCATGTGTCATGGACCACGCTGAGGAGGAATGGTGGGAACCTCCCCCTGCTCCTGACCAGGATCCTGACTCTTCCCAGGAGCAGGTGGACAGTATAGATTTGGAACAGTGGTTAGCAGAGGGACATAGTTCAGAAGGCAGACGCTGGGAAGTACTGGATAGGGAACAGCTAGGAAGAGAAGCACTGGGGGGGAGAGAGTTAACAGATTCATTGTCTCTGGAAAGCATTCATCTGCTCATCCAAAGGTCAAGAAGAGCTGGTAATGTGGCAGCACAGAAAGCACAGTGGTTATGAGCTCAGGTTACCAGATGCTGTAGTGACATGGGTGACTAGGGAGGATGTGGGTGAAACCCTTAATTGGGAGCACCATCATTCCTAGGAAATGGATTCTTTGTTCTCTCTCTGTGATCATTAAAGTTTCTAACTGGTAAGAAAACTCCTTTTCCTTTTTTCTGCTTATCTACTGCCAAAGGGGGGAGGAAGCCCGATTCCCTGAAGCCTGACATCATGTGACCAAACAACACTCCACAAGCATCAGGAGAAAGCCATCCAAGTAGGATTGGAACCACCATAAAGCAGTGCCCCACAACCCCCACTTAGAAAGTAGCTCCAGAAGAATGCAATGGTTGATGGCATTCCAGGAGCAGGGATACCATGATGAGGAGCATCTCAGATGCTGAGATTTTAGATCCCAAACCTGAGACCTAGGAGTGGTCTCTGGTGATGTCAAAAAGGGAGGTCCTGGTGATGTCACAGGGCAGCCCCAGGGGACAGATGTTAATTGAGAGAGGGGAGCAGAGTAGGGTAGACCCCCCCACACACACACTTTGTGTCTATGCCATAATTTTCAGCCAGCTCCTGCCAGGCTGCAGCTTGCAAGCTGCATGCACAATCCTCTTTTTAAAAGGAAATATTAAAGGCGCTCTTGCCTACTTGGATATTCAAGCCCGGCACCTGGAGGGGGACAGGCAAAAGGAGACAACAGCTCAGACCTAGAGGTCTGGCAACCCTATGGATGATACTGAATGGCTGAGAGATCAAGAAGAGTTTTCAGAGACGCATAGCCCTGTTTGCCGCAGCCATCAAAGTGTTTCTGGCTAGGCGTTTTCCCTCCAGGTCATCCGGTGCAGAACTCTGGTGTTTCAGCCAACCACTAATTCAGGAGTTGGAGAAGGTTCAAAATGCATTTGTGAAGAAAATACTGGCTTTATCTGCTGGTATTCCAGCTGCTTAGGCATGTGCCTAACATTGTCTTACATTGAACGTAACTAAAAGAGACTATGATCTGAAAATGAAAAGAGACATTGCATGTTCTTTTGCAATTCCAGAAAATCTTTAATAATTTTTTTAAAAAATACAAGTTTGCTTACTAAAATTTACAGAATTAAGATTTAATCTCATGCCCTCAACTTTTTGGGGTGGTTGTTATAAGAAATTGCCCCTGGAGCAGCGTCTTGTATATTTTGTAAAACTGTCAAAGATTTTGTCCATTTTATTACTCAGTGCCCAATTTATCCCCATGCAAAATATTTTGTGGAGAGTTTGCTTGCTTGTTGCTGTCTGATATTTTATGTTTCTACGCATATTCCTTTATTTGCACTGCTGGCCAGGAAATTAAGAGCTGGATTTGTGGCTCAACTCTGTATGCGAATTTTTTGCTTCTGTTTTGTTATGGCTAAACAAACAAAATTATTACCTCCGTCCCTTCCTACCAACCCCTTTATCCTGACATAGGTGATCAAACAGAGTTGCCAAGGCTGGGTCCCAACCAGACCTAAATCCAGACTGAAATGAATCTTAAAAAACCAGTCTCATCCAAGAGAGCCTGGATCTGACCCAAGAACCTTGGCCAAGAAGGCTGCCCCCATGAACCAAGGCACAGGCAAAGAGCCAACTAAACTCCCTCACCTCCAAATTGAAGAACAACAGAGGTTTCAGCAGAGTTTCAGTTCCACATCTCAGGTAAAAGAGCTTTTGTCAGTATTTCACATGGGGTGAAAAGTAGCTAAAAGTGCATTTGGGAGTCACTGAGACGAGGAGTTACAGTGGCAGCAGGACTCTTCTTGGGCCGAAAAGTAAAGCAGACGGTTTTGAGAGACCGAACAGGAGATAAGACGAAGGTGGGAACTAGAGTTTCTGCAGGTCCCTAGAAAAATTTGATCATCCTTTTTGGGGAAGTGTCCCCTCTCCTGTTTGGACTTCAAACGGGATACCTTTTTTCACATATTCAAGCCCCTTTCCTCCTCAAAACTGTATGGGCATGGGGTGGGTCCAGTGGGAGAAGGAAAGAGAGAGGCCTTTTGTGCTCCCAGAGGAGGCAGGTCGGTCAGACTCAGAAAGCGATGGGGGGGGGGTTGCAAATGGGACTGCTCCAATGGAGAATGGAAGAGTTTGCAATGCATGAGCAGCAAGTCCAAAGAGCAAGATCGGAAGGTAAAACACTCAGGTAAAGTACCGTACTGCCAATCGCCTGCCCTATTGCCACTGCATCACCCAATCAACACCACCCATTGACGCAGCAACCAATAACACGTACAATAGCCCCTAGCAACCGCGGCAGCAACCAATCAAACATCCACCCTATGCACTACCCATGTATAAGACGACCCCCATTCTTTAGCATGATTTTTAAAGAAAAAAACATAGTCTTAAACACGGAAAAGTATGATAATTTTTAGCTTCCCAATTCCCCCCTGACCTGTCCCTTATTTTGCCTGACCAAAGGTGGCAACCCTAGCCTGGAACGGCTGCCTGAATGGAGATGTAAGTCTTCTACAGCTATTGGTCCTATCCCTGGAGTGGGGATGTCATTTGATGCTCTAGTTCAGACATCGAAACATCTTGGCCTGGCGCTATATACTAGGGGCTAGATTAGTCATCCTCGCTTCCAGTTGTCTGTCACCTATGTTAAGAACTGAATTAGGAAGAGCTGCCTCGTTTATACACACTCTAGAATGTGGTTCAGCCTGACGGCCAGAAAGAATAACGATAATGTTGTTTTGCTGCCACCTTGCCACTCAAATGGCAACTGGTTTTTTTGTCAAGGTGAAAAATTTCCAGTCTCTGTTGCCTTCAAGCCTCCCTCTTTCGCCATTTTAAAATACGTTTCTGTGGTAGAAATTTGAACTGCCTTAACTTGTTTACCAGCTGGCATGCAAGTTAAGCCAGAATTCCAGGTAATTCCATAATGGGAACTGCAGCAGGAATAACATTCATGGCTTCCACATTGCACTTCTTTCATCTTGAATAATTAAATTGGCAGAGGTATTGCTGGTAGTTAAAAACAAGCAGATTGTTCTCTTATGTAATTATGTAATTATGAAGGTTTGCTTTTTAATCATGCCCACATATTAGATTTATAGATGTTGATGATCCAAGTCATTCAAAGATCTCAGAGAGAAAAAAAATCTTTTACTAAACAATGTGTGTTTTGTATTCATTTAACAAGAACTTCTAGCAAAACTATAACTTTCACAAGCCAGTTGGTACAGGCTCATCACAATGCGATGAAGATGGAGATTTTCACTGAAGTGTAATGATCTTCAGGCATGTCCCAGAAGCCAACTCCTATGTTCTCAATTCGATGGTTATGCAGGAATTCAAACAGAACCATTTGAGATATATGTACACACACACACACACACACACACACACACACACACACTGCTTAATGCCAAAATAGGCTTCTAAGTGGTGGTAGTCAACATCTGTCCTTTTTTTCTAAAAAAAAATAATGTTTAGGCGTACTCTCATTTTGACTCAAGAAAATCACCATTTTATAGTTCAAATTGGGGAAAATAAATACAGTAAATGGACAAAAGTACAAAGATTCATAAATGTTTAGGGGTATGTGTCCCCCTGCGCCCCCCTAGAGGAAAAAAATACTGGTCAAAATAATGGAGAGCTAAGGGATGGGGAACGATGTGAGGGCACAGGAAAATGAGCAGAGGTGGCTGAGGAAACAAGTGGTGATCAGAGTGAAGGTCTCCCAGTGAAGGGTGGTCCATTTGGGCAAATGGGGCATTGCCCCCAACAACCTCAAGCAGTCTTCACCTGCCCACCTTTGTGTTTACACCTAGTCCAGGGGGCGGCACTGGTTACCATCTTCCTCCTTCTTAGTCTCAATGTCCTTTGTAGAATTCTGCCAGGAGGAGAATGGGGACAAAATTAGAATTAGTTGGTTGTGCCTGACATTGCCTCTTGCCTTCGTCTACAGTTGTCTTCCTTTCCTTCCATTCTGCCAATCTTCATCATCACCAGCCAATACCAGGTCAAGACATTTTGTTGCCTGAGATGAAGGACGAGGTGGTGCCCCTGTTCCAGGCAGAGTGAGGCGGCTGCCTCTGGTGGTCACTGTTGAGGGTCAAGGAGCTAAGATGGCTGCTGCTTTCGGGTGTGGTGATGGATGCTGTCTCGTCTCCAGATTCAACTTCTAGTCCAGCCAGTTTTTGTATGTGGAATGGAAGGTGTCATTTTGTTCTTTGTCTGAGGAACAGAACATCTTGGGCAGCCTTGACCCCAATTTGATGTTGAAAAACCAGGTGGGAGCTATATGAGGACTTTTCTCACATAAGATACAGTGGTACCTCAGGTTAAGAACTTAATTCGTTCTGGAGGTCTGTTCTTAACCTGAAACTGTTCTTAGCCTGAGGTACCACTTTAGCTAACGGGGCCTCCCACTGCCGCCGTGCGATTTCTGTTCTCCTTCTGAAGCAAAGTTCTTAACCTGATGTATTATTTCTGGGTTAGCGGAGTCTGTAACCTGAAGCATCTGTAACCCGAGGTACCACTGTATATATAACCTACATTGTGAGTGGTAGGGGGGAAACCAGATATCAAGCAATTGATTGCAACAAACTGTTGAGTGTGTGCAAATTATAGGGGGAATGAGACAATAAAAGTAGACGGTGGTCATTCATTCATATAGGTAAAGGTAAAGGGACCCCTGACCATTAGGTCCAGTCGTGACCGACTCTGGGGTTGTGGCGCTCATCTCACTTTATTGGCTGAGGGAGCCAGCATGACTTAAGCTGCTTCTGGCAAACCAGAGCAGCACACGGAAATGCCGTTTACCTTACCGCTGGAGTGGTACCTATTTATCTACTTGCAGTTTGACGTGCTTTTGAACTGCTAGGCTGGCAGGAATTCATATATGAACAAGCAAAATCCTAAACTGGCAAAAGCCTTCAGTATGGGGGTTGCATGTAACAAATGTTCTGCTGCCAGAAGAAATGATCCACCAAACACCAGCATTTAATAGACACCAGACAGACCAAGCCCCAAAGTGCTAAGTGTTAAGTGACAAGATGAATAGCTGGCAAGTAAGAACTGGGCTTTGCCAATGGCTTTGATGACCAATCCCAGCAACCAGGATTGAAAATTTAGCCAATATTGCTACTCTGCAAGTAAATGAAAGCAGTCTGCCGAGTGGGGATTTCCATCCTACACTTCCGTGTGGAGCTGGGCGGTGGGATGGTTGGGAATTCTGCTGAATGTATAATGTATTTCTTGGCACTTTCACCTTGCAGATTTTGCAAGGATTTCCATGGAGACAGCTTTAGTCATGTGACGGGCCAGATTCCCCAAATTTACATAAGTAAGAAGTGCACTGCATGGCATTTCTACAAAACCATGTAGGGGTTTTCCAAATAGCTGCTCACCCGCTCCTTGCAGCAATGGGAGCAATGGGAGCCAGCGTGGTGTAGTGGTTAAGAGCGGTGGACTCGTAATCTTGGGAACCGGGTTCGCGTCTCCGCTCCTCCACTTGCAGCTGCTGGGTGACCTTGGGCCAGTCACACTTCTCTGAAGTCTCTCAGCCCCACTCACCTCACGGAGTGTTTGTTGTGGGGGAGGAAGGGAAAGGAGAATGTTAGCCGCTTTGAGACTCCTTCGGGGAGTGATAAAGCGGGATATCAAATCCAAACTTCTTCTCCTTCTCCTCCTTCTAGCATTATTGAAATAAGGACATGGGAGGGAACAGATAGAAGAGCTCCCATTAACAGGCATTTTCAAAGCAACAAAATGCAAGCTGTTATTTCCATATTATCTATATTATATATTTTGAAAAGTTGTCTGTTCACTAGACACTTGGGCACCTCTTGGGAGAGAACAAAACTTTGCAGACTTTCACCCATCTTTTGATACAAGTGCATTTTGAATCAAGACAGCAGACGGAACCTTTCAAAACTAACACTGATTTTAACCATCCATTTCAAAACTACATGGATCTTCTCATTTATTAGAATTCCCAAGCAATGCCTGGTACGAAACTGCTAGTTGTTCATGTGCAATAACATCAGTGTCCTAAATCTGTTTGGGGGTTGTTTTTTTCAGTCCCTGTGGTTTTAATTGTAGAAGAGCTCTTCGGGGACACCTCCAGAGGACAGATTTATTAAGCATTCTTCCTGATTTGCTTGCACAAACCTTACACAGAGGTGAAATTATAACCTTCCTGCAAACAAATCAGAACAAACTCTCGATTAATACTTGATAGAAAAAGATCAGCAGTCATCCTGATGTGAGGTATTTGTACATCTTCCTGTTAACCATTCATTCCACACTCTTCAATGCACTCCCCCATCGCTCTCCTACCCACAAAAAGTCCATTTCTTTTTTTAAAGGGAACTTACTGCACTAGGATAAGGACCACCAACTTTTGGGGGCCAATGGGGCACCTTTTGAATTTTGAGCATGTGCCATGGGTGACAGTCACACAGTGGCTGCCAAGGGGTTGTATAAAATGACTGCTATATATAAAAGACCAGAAAAAGAGATAGGAACACAAAATGGCGCAACAATGCCCCCCCCCAGCTGCCCCATCAATAGCGGGAAAGACTAAAGACTCTTTGTACCACTCCCTTTTCTGCTCAGAAAGGGTGGGTTTCCAGTCCTGGCATCCCATGAAATATGAACATGTTGTGGGGAGGTGTTTAATGCAGGAGGGGTTAAATTAGTCCAAACAGGTTCTGAGCAGGAAGAGCAAACAGCCTCACAAATATTATGGGGTTTTTGAGGGGATATCTACCTTTCATAAGGTAAAGGACCCCTGACAGTTAAGTCCAGTCGCGAATGACTCTGGGGTTGCGGCGCTCATCTTGCTTTACTGGCCGAGGGAGCTGGCGTTTGTCCGCAGACAGTTTTTCTGGGTCATGTGGCCAGCAGGACTAAGCCACTTCTGGCGAACCAGAGCAGCGCATGGAAACGCCGTTTACCTTCCCGCTGAAGCGGTACCTATTTATCTACTTGCACTTTTTGGCGTGCTTTCAAACTGCTAGGTTGGAAGAAGCTGGGACCGAGCAACAGGAGCTCACTCCGTCGTGGGGACTCGAACCGCCAACCATCCGATCAGCAAGCCCTAGGCTCAGTGGTTTAGACCACAGCGCCACCCGCGTCCCTTTCGTAGGCAACATAGATGACGGTACATCAGCACCCATGGCAAACCTTGTCTTAGGGTGACAGAGTGCTTTAATTGCATGACCTGCAATTCCCGATATGTCACTTTGGCAAAATGCTGACTGACTGGAGACGCCCTTTATCAAAAGTTGTAGGGAACAGAACTTTTAACAATCAAAGGAAATAAGTGTGGTGACTCACGTCAACCAGAGAGTGCTCTCTTCCCCCCCCCCTTCTGAATGTCATTCATGTCCGTAGCAATCATTTGCTACTCCTTCTTCCCTGTTCTGATAACTGCATATATCAAGAGAGTGTTTCGACTCCCTTTGTGAGGCAAGAAAGGGAAAGGAGTTGGCACGTTTTCCTTCTTTCAAACATATATCTGCCACTGCACTGTAACCGGTGGTTTTTTGTGTGTGTGCTTTAACTGTTGCAAATAAGACCTGGCATATTTCCAGAAGGTGTGTCTGGGCAGTAAACTTATAAGGTTCTAAAATGTGCTATTGTGGAGTAATACCCTTCCGAAGGCGTGTAGGTGTGTCTCTGACTGTATAAATAGGCAAGAAGCGTCAGTACTTTGAAGGAGACGGGGATCACCTTGAGTTTTACACTTGGACAAGCGGAAAAGACAGCAGGAGGTATGTGTAATAGCTATCTTGCAATTTGTCTGCAATAGAATGCTAATCTCTCAGAACGGAGCGGCTAAATTTCTTGGTTGCCTGCTCAAAGGCAAACTACACATTACCTACAGGAGTCTTTTTCTTTTTCATTCACATTTTTAAACTAAAAAGCAGAACCTTATTAACAGACAGCAGGAGGGCAGAGGGGGCGAGGGGGAACTGGAATGGCTGCTTACCCTTTCCCCTCCGTCTTCCACTATAAACTACATTTTACAGGCAGCTTTCCCCAAGATAGTGGGGAAAGCGGCTTGGGGAGGGTGATTGCAAGTGGGCAAATAGCAAGAGGCAAAAGAACTAAGCAGTCACTCCACACCAGTAGTAGAGCATCTGCCTTGTACCAAGGAAGTCCCAAGTTCCAACCCTGGCAGCTCCAGATAGGGATGTAAAAGAAGTCTGTCTGAAACCCTGGAGAACCACTGCAAGCCTGTATGGGCAATACTGACCTATGTGGCCCAATGACCAGTGGATTCCATATAAGGCAGTTTCCTACGTTCCTAGCATCCTTACTGCTCTTCTGTTCCTGCTTGAGATTTCAGAGGCTCCTTTTCAACAGCAACAGCAATTAGGAAAGAAAGATGCAACTGTGTGATCAGTGCCAGCCAAGGTTCACACGGACTAACGTTCCGAATTCAACAGAAAGGCTGCTTCCTATGTTCGCGTTATGTTGCTTAAATCTTATTGATGCCTGTGGGATGCGGAGCCCAGTTCTTTGCCTATTTCCTCAGACATAATCCTACTGACTTTAATGGGGCTTTATCCCAAGTATGCCCATTTAAGATCTGTGTGTGCTGGTCCAGTCTTTTGCTCTGGAATAGTTCCTCTGAAGTCTGTGGGCCAAGAACTGCAGCGTTAGATTTCTGTCCCCAACTAGGCAGCAAAGAGTTGGATAGGAGAAAAACCATTGGGTACCTACTTTTGCCTTTGGGTGAGCAGTATTCAGATTAAGTAGGGAGTCTTGCGCATGAGTAAATATTGCATTTTGCTAATGTGAATGCCTTGGAAATTGTCTGTTGGAGGAGGTGTGGTAGCAAGCACTGAAGATGTGGCCCGCTTTAATAATTTCACACTAACTGTGGTTACAGATCATGCAATAACTGTCAGTTCTTACATGTAATAAATGATGCTTATCCAGTCAGGGTGGTTCACCAGCAACAGGGCTCAGGTTTGCAAAACGAGTTACGGCAGCAGAACAAATTCCAAATGTACATTTCCCTCCTATCATTTTTGACATGTATCTGCATTGTAAAGGAAACACGTCCCCTGTTTTTTTTTCCCTTAGCATAGCATCATATTTAATATTTAATATGCAGCTGACTTGTATGTATCTCCATTGGGTTAGTCGTAAGCACACAGAGGATTGCAGCCTTTTTCATTATTTTTCAGAAGTCTAAGTTGGAGAGGTACTTTTACATGAACTTTTACTCCAGTAGAGCTTTGGTTCCTGCATTCCTGAACCTTTGCGGTCCCCTCCAGTTCTACAATTCTATTATATTATGATGATCAGAGGGGAATCTGAAACACGGTTTGATTATTCAATAATCAATAAGCACAGAGCTGCTGGACTAAATATAAACCAAGCCACCCAAATTGGCATGTGCAGCCTTAAGTGCGTGTGGCAGTCTCTCTCTGGATTGAGGCTAAGAGCTATTGAGCTTTGAATAAGGAATGGCCCTGTGCTTTATACACATGAAATAAATTTTCTGGAGGGGCTTTCCCATTTGAGGATAAAGGTTTTTGGTTTTTTTACTAATAAGCTCTTCCCATGAGCATAGAAATCTGCTGTACAGATTGCACTAACCCTGCCCCCAAGGAGCTCAGAATGTTGTTTAAACCTCACAACAAACCTATCTGTGCGAAGCAGGGACTTAAACATACACACCCAACATTCTAGCATCCTGGAAAACGGTGGGTACCACTTTTCCATGGGCACTCCTACACATTAGCATCAGCTTTCTGTCCTAACTTCTGTTGCCTCTGGCAGACTTTTCATCCTGTTCGTGGCTCTTTCCCTGATCCTTCTTTAACTTGGATTTGGCTGAAATGAAAGAAAAGGGATAGTCAGAAAGGGCAGTGGGAGCCAGATGTGAAACAGCTGCATATCTGAATAAATTTCAAGTGATCTTAGCTGCAAGTGATGTTCTGCCTAAAGGGAAACTGTGGACTGAAGAATCAGTTCATCTAAGCTCTCAAACACACCCCTGTTTGCTTTCTGGCTGAGTGAAAGTATCATTTCCTAACCTATATTGTCTTCAGAGGTGGGTTCGGCAGTCAGACAGATCTAGGATGAGATTAGAAATTGATATCATCCTCACGCGAATGTGGGAGAAAGGAAACAATTTCACGTTTTGCACAAAAGTTATCCGGGTGCTCTTAAAACATAGTGCCAAAGCCAATTTTACCTTTGGGGCAGTTTTGAGATTTAACCTTATAAAGACTGATTGTGTCAACAGTCAGGTAGTCACGATCATAATATGACTTCCTGGTCAAGAAACATCTGAGCTGGTCATTTTAAAATAATATTATGTTTGGTCCTGGCCAAATCAAGACCGATTGATGTAATATTTATTTTAAATGAGGCACCCAATTCTGTTATTTAAGTCTTTTAAAATCCTATTTGCCGATTCCTGACAAAAGTATAGTACTTTTGGTTAAGGTGCCCCTAGTTTATTGACTTGCCCACCCATTTGACTATATGGCCATGGGTTGTACCTGACATTGCGCAAGCAGAAGGCAGTTCATGCAACTGGATTTTTATTTCCTCCTCGTCCACCCTACAGCCCTTTCAGAACTACCCCAAATCCAATTTTGGGTGATCCCCTTATCCCTCATCCCTGTAAATAAGAGCCCATAATATTCAGGAGGTCTGCTATACCCTCTGTAGAAAGATTTGGGGGTGTTCCTGGAGGAGGGAAGAGTTCTGCTCATACAGTCCTGGATAAAGCCCAGTTATGTCCCTCACTCTGAAAAGCAGATACTTTGTACAGGTGTTCATGCACCACCTGTCAAAATTAGAAAGAGGAAGGGTAAGGCTCAAGCCTACTGGCTCTGGCTCTTACCTCCACCTGTTCAAGATCTTGTAAGCATGAGGCTTAGAGACAATTAGTATCCTTCAGAAATGGAGGGGATAGATCATGCATAAGGTGTCTGCTTGCATTTTGGGCAATGAATACCTTGAATTTCCAGAGGCTAAGGCATTGCAACAGAGGTTAGCCCTTTTTTTTTTTTTTTTTTACAGAGATAAATCCATGCTAGAAAGATACCATGATGTGAGACACTGATCATTGTACTGCTTTATGATCTTTGCTGGTGTCAGAGTATCGATCATGTTGATGCCAACATGGCTAAAGATGGAAATATGGATTGTCATAAATTCATTTTACTCTCCCAAAACAGGTTTCAAGAGAACAGCAAACCATGAAGATCAGACATTTCGCTGTTCTGTGCGCCCTTATTGTGTTCTCCCAGGTGCTACAAGCTGACTGTGAAATACAGAAAGAGAGGAGAAGAGGGAGGACCAACAATGGAAAAGGTGAGAGGCCACAGCCTGGCTCTGATGACCAGAATGGAAGAGGTCAGAAAACCCGAGGACAGAAGGGTTCACTTAAAGGCAAGTTCGTCACCAAAGAGAAGTCTGAGTGTACCTGGGCGCTGAATGAAGCTGAGATTGCTACCTTGAAAATTGATTGCAAAAGATCAGAGAGCACCTTCTCCTGTGAATTTTCAGGCAACCCTTCCAGCTGTCCCCAGTATGCAGAAAACAAGAAGGTGTTCTGGAAGCAAATTACTCGGTCTCTAAAGAGGCAGAAGAACATCTGTGAAGACCCAAAGAGTATCTTAAAATCTAAAATCTGTAGGAAAGGGCCATCAGCTGCTCACCTTAGAATGGTGACACCAACTAGTTCCAGAGAAGACAAGCCAGTTCACCATGGACAGGAGACCGCTCTGGAACCTGTTACATCTGGAACCCAGCCAGACGAAGCATCCAGCAATTGTGTTGAAGATGTCGATTATATTGATCAGAAAAAAGTGGCTGAAGAACACTGCTCAGAGTTATGGCGGTCTCTTTGCCTTTTCGTCATTTCAATGATACAAGATAAAAAGTGCAAATAGGAATACAACAAGGTTGGCAACGTTCCTTGAGTTACTACAGGCGCACATGTAAATCACATTGTAGAAGGACGAACCATTCAGAATAGCTCTCTAATACATTTGCCCAGGAACCAGTTTTCCTGGAGACACTCAAAGGTGACTCCTTTTTCATCTCCAAAAGGGGCTGCTGCCAAACCCCATGGCCACAACTACTGATCCCACTTGCACCCTCCTTATCGCCACATAACTGTGGGGAAGAGGTCACATGATGCAACTCATGGAGGGAGATTGGACTGAGGCCGAAATCGTGCTGATTTTCCCATCATATAAGGGTGACATCTTCAAAGTGAACATTTAAAGGTCTCCCCCTCCCCCAGAAGATACTGTTTTTCTCAGGTCATCAAAGATGCTATATATTTTATTTTTCTAAAGAGAGAAATTGATTTATATAGCATGCTATATAAATGTTACCATTGGATGTTACAAGCCCTCTGTAAAAATGTACATATTATGCTTTGTTGAATATCTCCTCCTTCGCTTGAGTATTTCTAGCCAAAGTGATTATTTCAGTGCTATGCACTTTTTGTACTTTTGCTTTCAGAATTGCAGAAAATTAATAAAGTTAAATATCTACTCAGGTTTGTTCTCTATGTGTTAAACATTTCTTTCTGTATGAGAAAATTGTGGATATCTATGGTTTTAACGATAGGGACGCGGATGGCGCTGTGGGTAAAAGCCTCAGCGCCTAGGGCTTGCCGATCGAAAGGTCGGCGGTTCGAATCCCCGCGGCGGGGTGCGCTCCCGTTGCTCGGTCCCAGCGCCTGCCAACCTAGCACTTCGAAAGCACCCCCGGGTGCAAGTAGATAAATAGGGACCGCTTACTGGCAGGAAGGTAAACGGCGTTTCCGTGTGCTGCACTGGCTCGCCAGATGCAGCTTTGTCACGCTGGCCACGTGACCCAGAAGTGTCTCCGGACAGCGCTGGCTCCCGGCCTCTTAAGTGAGATGGGCGCATAACCCTAGAGTCTGTCAAGACTGGCCCGTACGGGCAGGGGTACCTTTACCTTTACCTTTATGGTTTTAACAGCCACATTTCTCTCTGTTGTGTTCATGCATTACTTGCAGTGAACATCAATGTGTTTACTCGTAAGTTAATCACACTGTGACCTGGAATTGCAGATGGAACTATATAGCTGGGCTCAGCTGTCGTAGATCCCAAAATAAATGGGATACCTTGGGAACCTTGTTGGAGTAGGGGCAAACTTATTTCTAAATTATTTTTAATTTACATTTTCATATATTTAAGTGCCTGACATAGGGGAAAAATTCAAGATGTTTTTCTCGCCTTCAGTCAAGAGAAGTCCATGAATGTTCCATATTCCCAAAGTGTGTGTGTGTGTGTGTGTGTATATATACACAGGGGTACCTCAGGTTACATACGCTTCAGGTTACAGACTCTGCTAACCCGAAAATAGTGCTTCAGGTTAAGAAATTTGCTTCAGGATGAGAACAGAAATCGTGTTCCAGCGGTGCAGCAGCAGCGGGAGGCCCCATTAGCTAAAGTGGTGCTTCAGGTTAAGAACAGAACTCTGGAACGAATTAAGTACTTAACCCGAGGTACCACTGTAGTATGAAATTCTAATCTACAACCCAGACTAATGGTACTATACAGGATCTTAATGTTTTTTAATAAATAAAAAATGGTTTTTGAAGGGGGACAATTCAGCAACGTCCAAAGGCAAATTATTGGATACTGTCAAGCTTGCAAGACAAATGTGTATGCTAAGAACATTTGTTGAATTTTCAATAGACTTAAAATCAATCAACGCAGGACAAACAGGGATGTGTGCCTTTTGCATGCATGTTGAGTACGTAAGTCCGTGTAATCATTTGTTAAAAAAACAACAGTTATTCCACTCATGATGGATTGGAGATATAATTTGACCCTGAGGGAGTCTGCCTCATTTTCTAATGTTCCTTTCACACTGCTACGTTACCTGCTATTGGCTTTTTGACCAATATCTCAGCATATCACACTCAATTTCATCCACACCAGTGGGCCTGGAATGACACAACAATGATCGTCACTGTATGCCACACTTTCTGCACATACATGCACTTGCTCTCCCATGAGCCACCCATGAATAATAATAATAATAATAATAATAATAATAATAATAATAAATTTTATTTATATACCGCCCTCCCCAGCCAAAGCCGGGCTCAGGGCGGCTAACAACAATAAAACAGTACAACAGTACAACAGTACAACACAACACAACACAACACTCTAAAATCATTCATTATAAAATTAATTCAAATCAAACCAATGGCAACCATTGGGCCAGAGCTCCACGAAGGAGGGAGTCAGGCTGTGCCCTGGCCAAAGGCCTGGTGGAACAACTCTGTCTTGCAGGCCCTGCGGAAAGATGTCATGAAAACAGCAGGGAAGAGCTGTATGCCAGGATACCACCCCAAATGTCAACACTTTACTCCCACAATTTTCTGGGTTAATGGCGTTGCAAGCATAAAAATTTTGCTGGAAGCAATTAACACAGATATAAGCACAAAACACCCACTAGATATCTATAAGTGGCTTCTACATCGTGTGAAAACTCATATATAACATGGAAATTAACAGTTAGAGAAATCTTGTGAAAACGGAATCAACTGTTGCATGAACACAGTCTCAGACTGCTATCTTAGAATACTTCTGGCACATTCCTAAGAACAAGATGACTATGCTACGACACAAGTCCCCAAATAATCAGACATATACGCATATGCGCCTATATACACTTTACTATAAGTTCCTTGACTCAGTCAGAAATGTGGAGTCTAAGTCAGAATTGATATGAGTGGTTTTATTTTGCAAATTGGCCAGAGTAGCCTGTCATGGGTTCTATCAACTCTCCTCACAGACCAAGCTGCAATACGACTTCCGCCACTCACAATGTGACTGACACTGAGCAAAGCAGTGGTGGAGAAACAGACTTTCATCCCTGCAGGCTAGACTCTAACATCCGTTCTAGCATGTTTCCCATTGGATTTGTCACAAATTGCATACCATTCAAGCACCATTCCTCCTGTGCTATTGCCCCAGCTTCTCAGACAACCAGAGTGGTGGTGAACTCTACAATTCAGGAGAAGGCATTTGAGAGTGATTGTGTATACTACTGCGCAGTCATTTCTATATTCCAGAGAACAACCAGAGCATCAGGATATGTCCACCAAATAGGTCAGTAGGAAAATCTATCGGAATCCATTAAGAGTAAGTAGATCATCTCCCCTGTCCTGCAGAGGTCAGGTGTCAGTGAAAGTCTCAAACTAGTCTGTCCGTGATAATGGCACCAAAATAGCTGTCAAGGAGTTGGAGTCAGCAGCAGATTAGCAATAAAACACCCGGTGTCAGCGAAGTTAACACTTTATTCAAACAAACCACCTCAGGTCTGGTGATCACAGCCACGCTTCCCAGTAGATCTTGCCCCAATTAAGCTGTTGCGAGAACTTACGGTCCCCGCCTTCTCACAACTGTCAATGACTCCTCCTGGTCCTTTGCCAGCAACCAGAGGCTCTTTCATCTTGTCTCTCTTTTCTCCACTATTACATTCCTTTATGTGTTCTGGGAGACCAGGGAGAAAGGGAGCTGGTCACAGCAAGAGGGGGACTCCCTGGCTTCTTCCGCAGCCTGCCAGATCTCTGCGTCTTGGCCCCCTCTCCTCTCCAATCCCTGATTCTGGATTGCTCTCTGCCCCAGTCTCATCCTGTTCACCAATTCCTGTTACCTCTTCAGTTTCCAACACCCCTCCTCCCAGTCTTCTTCCTCTTCCCTCTCTGACCACTCACTGTCGTCCCACCACCAACCCCAAGGTCTGAGCTTTCTTCCCTTGGGAGTACCACCCACACAGGAGTAAGGCAGAAGAAACCACCCCTGTGGTTCATCATGACAGATCACTTATAATGCTTGTCACATCTCAGCTTGTGATGAAGCACACAAAGCATTAAACTTGATGTGATATACATGGATGTCCCTGTATGTTAAGTAATGTGCCAGCCCTGTTCACATATAATGCAGTGGCCGGGGGAGATGTCTAATTTGAATATCAAAAGGGATAGGAAGTCTAGGGAACTGAAAGTCTGCAACCCCATGTACTTTCCTCCCAGGAGTGATCTCAGCTGGGACAAATGTGGGGCAACAGAATATGGGGCGGGAAGAGGAGAGAGTTCAGTTCCCCTCCCTTGCACATCCCTTTCCATGCCAAAAAAAGACTCATCCTTGGCCCTGCTTATTACACAAGTGGAGCAGACTAAAGAAGCTTGATTGTTCATGTCCCTTCCAGTTTGGCCCGGAATAAAAGATACAGTAATGCTGTTCTTCCACCTGTTCTGCTGCTTGTGGCAAACTAACAAATGGCTTTAGCAGGGATGGGTAATCAGTGACTCCTAGGGTTGGGCGAAGGTCTCAGTTTCTCTCTGTTTCTCATTTTTCCAGTCTCAGTTCAGCTCTTTACATTTTCACATTGACGTGTGAGTTGTGTTTTTCTTTAAGTCATAAAAATTCACCAGCATTTTAGTGTGAATCTCTCCAAACGTACACCAAACTTTGTATGCAATTTTGCCTAATGTGCACATTTTTGCAAAGCAATGTCCCCAATATAATGCATTTTTGTTGGTCTTTCATTAATATTTGCATTTCTTTGCATACTTGACCCTTAGCATATGTATTTTTGTACACACTAGTTGGCCATAGAACTGCACTGCAAAATTTAGAGGTGCAAATTTCAAAGGATGGCTGCATTTCAGTTCACATGGTGTTTCAGAACGCGCAAAACAGGTAGCTTCACATTTACATGTGAACTGAATCAAATTTCTCCCCTTCCCTAGACTCCAGTTCTCACCAGTCTCTGCCAACATTGCCAGTGACCAGGATTTGTAGTCCAACAATATCTGGAGAGCCACAGGTTACACAGACTATAAAGGTAATGGACCCCTGACAGTTAAGTCCAGTCGCATACGACTCTGGGGTTGCGGCGCTCATCTCGCTTTACAGGCCGAGGGAAACATCGTTTGTCCACAGACAGCTTTCCGGGTCTTGTGGCCAGCTTGACTAAGAAACCAGAGCAGCACACAGAAATGCCGTTTACCTTCCCCCTGGAGTGGTACCTATTGATCTACTTGCACTTTGACGTGCTTTCGAACTGCTAGGTTGGCAGGAGCTGGGACAGAGCAACGGGAGCTCACCCCGTCATGGGGATTTGAACTGCCAACCTTCTGATCAGCAAGCCCAAGAGGCTCAGTGGATTAGACCACAGCGCCACCCGTGTCCCTCCCAGACTATAGGCGCCACTGAATTCTGATACTCAGGATTTATCCTATGCATGTTGAGACAGTAAAATGTTCCACTGCGTTCAACAGAAGTTACCCCCATATAAGTATTTTCCTCCCCCTCTAGCATAAATCTTTATGACTTACATGTCTGAAGTGTATGGTGTATATGGGGTGTTAAGGAGAGGCGTAGTATCTCTAGTGGGGAACATGTTGTGCTCCTTCTGGGGTAGTTTGTCCACCTTTGGTGTCCAACCTGTACTCAGCTCCCATCTATGGCTCCTTGAAGCTCTCAGCAGGCAACAGCGGCTGGG